GGGCGGGATGGGAGGGATTTTGGGTGTGTGTTTTGTTTTGTGTTCTTGTTAGTTTTTTTTTTCTGTAGATTGTGTTAAAAAATAATAAAAAGACATTGATCAAAAAAAAAAAAAACTCATTTCCCGAGTCTTAACACTGAAACTCAACATAACCATAAGCAACATTTCCCTCCATCTCAGTTCTCCAGCAGGTGAGATGCTGGAACATCCATGTACCATCAAAAGTTACAGCTGTGGAAGGGAGTTGTGTTGTGGTGCCGTGTCACACAGAACCCCACTATCGGGTCATTTGGTACCAGTACCATAACATGCGTTACCCTGTGGTTTATGATCGACATAAGCCTAAGGAAGTGCAACATCAGTTCAGAGGACGAACCTCATTGTTGGGCAAAGCTGCTGAAGGAAACTGCAGCTTGAAGATTGATGACATGAGCGCAGCTGACAACAACCTACRACTTTATGTGTGGATCAACCCCGACTCTAAAAGCACACAGAGATTTTATGATCAAACTGTTACCATCCATGTTGGTAAGTAGAGATTTGGATGTTATTTATGGTTCCTTTCAGTCTGTGGTGCTGATCAGTTTGATGATCTTCTGATGATAAAACTTTTGCTTTTTTACTTTCAGAAAGAAATATCCCTGTCGTATCTGTGAAGCAGCCTATAGTAGAAGGGGAACTTTTTGAGGCCAAGTGCAACTTTTTAAACTCCTGCCCAGTTTCACCGCCATCTCTTCAATGGACCAAGAGTCAATTTTTTGACAACCTGACTATGCTGGACATCATCACAAAACCGCAAGGCCTCTGGCTGCACACACAAACCCTGAGAGCAACAGCAACACATGAAATGCACAACACCACCATTAGATGTTCAGCAAAGTTCCGAACTTTGATCACAGAAATAACACTAAACATTTTATGTAAGTGAACTCAAATACAGTATATTACAGGTAATTTATTCCCGAGTTATTTTATTCTAGATTTTTTTTTATATTCACAGATAGTCCTGTCTCTGTGATGCTGATACTGGAGAAGAAAAATGTGATGGAGGGAGACAGTATCACTGTGGAGTGTTCCGCTAACAGTAACCCTMAGCCACACACGTACTCATGGATCAGAAAACAAATTGGCAACACCGATGAGACAAGTTCAACTCAGAAAAGAATGTCCTTCCACAACATCACACGGCATACTTCTCTGTCCTGCAGGGCTCAAAATAACATTGGAGAGGGAAGGTCAGAGTGGATGGAACTCCCTGTTCAATGTATGAAACTATATAATTCCTAACATTTTCTATTTATTCTGCAATAGCAATACATCAAGATCTACCTTGGTGTATGTTTGACTGCCAACATCTCCCCATAATTTAAAGCAGATGACGTAGCAGGAATAAAAATCAGAGTAAAAAAGTTAAAAACAAAAGTCAAGGTTATCATTGACATTTGCAACTTATTGGAATTTGGCTGGATCATGGCAAATTTGYAAAAAAAATAAAAATAAAAATAAATGGTTGCTGTACTCTCTAAATAAGTTTTTACTTATTGTGTCCCTGAGTAGCTCCTCTACATCCTTTATATGCTACATGTTGAATGTAGCAACAAATCCAATTGACCTTTTGGAGCCAAAAATCTATTTTTTATCTCCTGCTACCAAGAAAGTGGGGCAAATGTGYATTTATCTGTCAGCAAAATATCTCACAAACCAGTCAGATTTAATTGACACTCTTAAAAATTAATCACTGAATGTAACTTTTGAACACTGATATGAGACGGCCACCACAGCTAATGAACCTTAGAAAACATCGAAATGTCTGTAGCTCAGTCAGTTTGAAAGATGTTGACATTTTGGTGTGGTAGTAGCTGAGAGTCATCTCTACCACATTTTGAGTACTTAAAACAAGGCCTCAAGGGCCATTCTGAAACAAGGGCTGACAACACAGGGCTATATTTTGGTGTAAAGGGCAGAGACCAATATGCATTCTTTCAAGGGAATTTACTTTCAACTTTATTTCTTATTGCACTTGTCTCAGCTCATAATCTTATATCTTATCTCATAGTTTTACTGCATAGAGTATGCATGAAGAGAAGGCTAAATTGCAAAGTTCATCTCTTATATTTCTGACCTGATTATAATGTTTGACCAAGGTTTAACAACAACAACAACAACAACAACAACAACAACAATAATAATAATAATAATAATAATAATAATAATAATAATGATGTTACTATCATTTCAGATGCTCCAGTAATCACAGAGTCCAGCTGTTGTGTGATGGGGGATCAGATAAGGTGTCGCTGTCATGCTGAGGCCTTTCCTAAACCCTCAGTATTCTGGATTATTGATGGAAACTACTCTCTGCCATCCCCACCAACCATCATTTCCCCTACAAAGAAAAACGTAGTGTCAGTGGAAATATTTGTGCCAGTAAAGCGCCAGCTCAATGTGTCATGCAGTGCTTGGAACCGATTTGGCAACGACACCAAACAAATGTTTCTAAACTGTTCATCAAAACTGTGTAAGTTACTCTGTAGGACGTAGGTGATAGCACTGCCATGACCTCATTTTTACTTATTTCGTTTTCTTTCTTTTACAGCTTTGCTTATGTGGTTAATGTTTGTGGGGCTTATTTTGCTGTTGGGATGTGTAATGTTACGTAAAAGACATCTTATCAGAAAAAGGTTGGTGTCTTTTGCTCCCTGATTTAAATCATTAATGTATAAAGATTGTGCAGAAGGTTTACAGCCATTGAAAAGATGACAGTGATTGTTGTAACACTTATGGGATGCTGAATGTTAAAATTCAACAGGAAAAAAATGTGCACTTTTTTCACAAAAGTGTATTTTTCTCACAATTAGTGAGAAATGCTGAATATAGAAGTTAAATCCATAACTAAATATATCTATATTTATATATTATGCATTCTATACAAATGTTATATTTAGATCTAAATTTGATTAAATCTTGAATCCTAAATCTAAATATATCTTCAGGAAAATGTGATTATTAACAATGCCCCTTTCACATCTCAACTCATCACCACACCTCTAACAGAAACATGAACCAGTGCAATATCTGCTTTTTCAAGCCAGTCTTCACCTATCCTCTCATCCGAAACAAAAAGGAACTATGAATCTGGTCAACTGGTCTCTGAACACAATTGACACTATTTTTTTCCACATTAAGACTGGAACGAGGGGAACGTAGCTGTCCCAGTGGAATAGTCACTGCTGGTCAGGTCAATGGTTCCTGTGGGGCTTGGAGCCTGATCTGTTTGGCACCGCTTTCCAATGAAGATGTGGAAGATTTGTATATATTTGGTTTTATAATAGTTGGATTTCTGCTGATTGGCTGTGGCAGAGTTCTGTTATTAGAAAATGAAAGTGATCCTGTCAGCAGTCCTGGCCTGTGAAAAGCTGTCAGAGAAAATGGATGGAATCTGCCACTCTGGAAGCACACAAACTCAGATGCTGGGGGTGATAAGTCACAAACTGGATGTGATTCTGTCGAGAATTGCTGCACAGAAGCGTGCTTCTGGGATATAAGGATTACACCTAGGTGAAGCTTCAGACGGCGTGAGGTGAGAATACACGGAATTCGGAACATTGTTTTTTTTTTTCCGCCACTTTCAGAGATGCAGTGAGACTGGAAGCAGCAAGGAAATTGAAGGCCGCTTGTCCCAAATTGTGTTTATCTTTTCGGATCCCAGCTGCTGACCTTTGGTTGGCACGTTTATCTAAAATTCCCCAGGAGGATACGTCAAAAAGGGCTTGAGTCCCCCCCCCCCCATCATCCATGTGGGACCAGTCTGAAGGCCGTGAGGAAGAAGGGAAAACTCTCAACTCTATTGAACTGGGTATGAGACAAATAAGATCTCTCTGGCCTCTGGCGGGCCTTGGATCGGTTCCAGCATGGAGTATTTACCTAAAACACCACCGGCTCCACTGAACCCTGCCCCAGTCTCATGTGTTTGACCCCAAGACCACCCCCCAGCTGTCTTGCTCTAGCGAGTCGGTTTTTTGTCTATATGATTCTGTGTTTATGAGTAAATGTAGGATCAGAGCAACATTTTTTAACTCACCAATCCTGTTGTGTTTTTCCAAGCTGCAAAAGGTAGCACAACCGTGTTGCACAAGACCTGTTCATCCGTTCCCCCATGTTTGTTATGTGTGTCTTTCTCTTGAACAGGTGTTCTTAACTGCAATTATGTTCTGCACTGCATCTGCGATGTTGTGTGTGAATGACAATAAAGCTGAATCTGATTCTGATTTAAATAAAAAAATTCAGGATTTTGATATGAGATTTAAGATAAATGATTTAGGTTTAGACATAAATATAAAGGAGACAGAAATGGATTTTGATTTGTCATTTATATTTAGCATTTCCTGCTAATTATGAAAAAAGTGAGGGGTTATTTTCCACTGAATTTTTATATTTGGCACCCCATGAACATTTCAATTTAAGTTCACATCACATCCCTCTTTTTAGCAATAGTCAACTAAAAGAAACATAACATTTAACAAATAAATACAACTCTTCGAGTTCCTGTTAAAATAACTGTGATGTCTAGACTGTAGCTTTAAATATTGGGGTGGGGGGTGTTTTACTTTTATCACCTGTACTGTGTTAGAATACCATCAGTGAAGAAAAAGTGTTTGGGTGAATTTAGAAATAAAAAGATGTTTATTTTTCAAAAATGTACAATATTAATATTAATGTAATATTTAAGTTCAAGCTGGCTTTTTTATAATCTTTCTCTGATGTTTGAGATTAGATCACAAAACCAAGAGAGACCTGAAGGAGATGCTGGGGCGGACAGACTTTCCAGTGTGTATGATAATGATAATCAGGAGGACATGAGGTCTGTGGAGCTTCAGCAGTACCAGAACTTTCAAACACTCCACCACAGGCCAGCTGAAAGTTTACCAGCAAAGGTGAAGTGAATTAGAAAAAATAATTTTATTAAAAGCAAAATAAAACATTTCAAATTAGATGGCAGCACTGGAAATAGATCAAATTCCCAAATAAAGGTTAATGTGTATTGTTTATTTTTTTTTTTGTTTTTTTGTTTGTTTCTTTTATTGAGCACATTCTTCAAAAACTCCTATTTCAAACACAAACTGTTTTTTTTTTTTTTGGTTTTTTTTTACAGGGTGGGAACTCCAGCATGGAAATCTATCTAAACTACTGATCTCAGAACACCCACTGATCATATTTCATGGTATGTTCTAAAATTTCCAGTTTTGCTTAAAACAAAAAATAATCAGTGCTTACGCATTTTCTGGGCATTTTTGTTAAACTTGTGCACGTATGATTGTAAGAAATAATTTAAGAATTTTTTTTCTTCACAAACATAAAGATATGATATTTCCTGTCACCGTGCTGACTAACCATAATTGTGGCCMGAAGGAAATGACAACACAAGCTGTTGTTGAACAGTCTGCTGTTAGAAACTCAGGGTTTAATGTGATACCGGAGTCATTCATTCACTTCAACTGTTTTTAACAAGATGAAACATCACCTTATCTCTGAGACATGACTTTCAGTTATTCCAGGCTTGTGGCCTATGACTTCAGAATCTTTTTCAGGAGGGAGCTTGTAGGTGAAAACATTCATCAATATACTGTATTTAGAGCCTAACAGGAGGTGCTTCTGTTTTGCATATTTGTTAATATTAACCAAATGCTGGTTGTTCATTGCTCAGTTTATGATAAAATAAATTGCGTCACAAGAGGTATGACTAACTGGCTATTTCCACCATCTGGTATTTTATATCAACTCATCTTTGAACTTATGACAGTAGCTGTCTTCAACTAAAGGCACCAACAGGGTTTTTCTGTTTGATTTGTTACTGAGGAGTTACCAGTTTTAGACTTGTTGATGCAGCAGGTAAGTAAATATATTTATCTTATCCGTCTAACATAATATATATTTTGTTCCATAGGARTTCCCCCATCTGCTGTTTAGACTTCAGAGGTTCCTTTAGTACTACTATACAATTGGATCCATAAAATAAAATAAATAAATAAATTAAAATGTATCACAGTCAGATGTTTTCAGGGTGCATGAATGCCATCTTGATTTTTGGCTTTTCAATATTTATTCTTCATTATTCTTTTTTTTTAATCTAGACTGGAATACCTATTCAACACATAACTTAAACTGTTTTTAAACTGGATGTGCAAGTATGAATTATATGGATTTTTTGTAATCCACACAGGGTCAAGAATGTACAAGTTCAAATATAGTAGGTACAGTGCATTCAACTAYATTTTAAGTAGTTCAGAAAATTGTTTTAACTTGACTTCGCTACAGTCTAATCACTTCTCTTTGGTGATCATGATTGACTGCAGCTGGTAGTTTGTCTTTGCAGCATGAAAATTGTTTGGCAGTCATTTTTGGACTGACCAAGAGAAAAGTGGCAATTTATATGAGCCAGGAAAGTTTGTCGAAGTCATTTCCAAACTTCATGATCCAAGATTATCAGTTCAACAACTGGACCTGAGTCTAAGTTATTCAGCTATGTCAGCACTTTACAAGGTTTGAAAGAAGATCCAAACTGTCACACTCAGATAAAATAAAATTGTTCTGAATGTTCAGGAACACGACAGACATGCCAAGACTGAAGCGTGCAATGAACTGGAAACCACTGGAACACCAGTGTCTTCACAGTGGCAATGTGTTACTGCCATATGCACTGTGTGGACTGAGGGGGGTGCTGACTGAGAAATAAGCTCCTCCTCCAAAAGTGGCATTTTCACGCTTGACCCAGACGGACAAACCAAATACCTTCTGATAAAAAATATTAATGGCTCATTGTGTGTTTGAAGAGTCAGTGAGGCTTCCAAACCTAAAAACTGCACCAATTGTCAAGCATGGAGGTGGTAGAATTATGCTGTGGCAGTGATGTAGTGCACAAAGTTGAGAAAATGAAAACCAAAAAAGAAACTGGCTTCAAATTCTTCAACTTTACCTCAAAGTTAGACTCATTAATGTTCCAACAGATAAATTTCATCTCAAACACACATTAGAACTGGTTTCTGAAAGAACAAAACAGACCAAACATTAGGCTTGGCCTTTCCAAAGCCCTGATCTCTATACAATTGTAAATTATGTGTAAAAGCTGGGTCCATGCCAGGAAATCAATCAATATAAATGAACTCTCCAAATTCTGTCAGATGTCCAGCCAGAGTTTGTAATGCAAAAAAGTGTGGTAGAGGTACAACTTGATGAGACATTTAACCAAATGTTGTTAGGGTACTGTATTTTATTCTGTGTGGACGAGATAATTTTTACATTAAACTTGTGCACCTACTTCTTGTTTTTAAGAAAACAGTGAAGWTGTGTGTTGTGTAAACATTCATTCTTGAGGAACAGTTTCACTACTGAAAATTATTTGAAAAAAAGCATCAGGAAAAAAGCTAAATTAGTGGTAATGAGTGCCCATTTCTGTCTTAATRCTCTTTATTTTTATTTTTGCTTTAGGTCAATAATGGATTCAGTGGTGCAATCTGAGGTTATTCTCTCCGTTTACATCATTTCCTTCGTGATTGGCCTCCCTGCAAATCTCCTGGCACTTTATGCCTTCAGTGTCAAGATCCACTGCAAACCACTTCCCACAGACATCCTACTTCTGAACCTGACTGTGTCCGACCTGCTTTTCTTGATCATCCTTCCTTTCAAGATGCACGAGGCAGCATCAGGCATGAAATGGACTCTGCCAAACTTCATATGCTCCATCACCTCCTTCACTTTCTTCTCCACAATCTACACCAGCTCCTTGCTGCTGATGGCGATCAGCGTGTTCCGCTACTTAGGAGTGGCATAYCCCATCACCTTCCAAAGACTGCAGAAACCCGTGTACCCCATCGTCATCAGTGCCGTGATCTGGCTGATGTCAGCGGGACAGTGCAGCACCGTCATCTTCATCCAGCACCACCCGTCGCTGGCCAGCCCCAATTCTACCGTCTGCTATGAAAACTTCACAGAGAAGCAGCTGGAGGTCCTTCTCCCAGTACGTTTACAGTTTTTCTTTGTGCTCTGCCTTGTGCCTCTTCTGATTTCCATCTACTGCTACCTGTGCTTGATTCTGATTTTGTACAGCCGTCCCAGGATATCAAGGCTGCAGAAGAAAAAGACTATCGGGATGGCTTTAGGGACTCTTGCAGTCTTCCTCATTTGTGTCCTGCCGTATAATTTTTCTCATTTATTAGGTTACTTCCAGGGTAAAAGCCCACAGTGGAGGTACTACACTTTATTGCTTAGTACATTAAACACTTGTATTGACCCCATCATCTTTTATTTTTCCTCCTCCATCTTCCATTGTACCAGCAAAAAATCCATTTTCAAGAAGCATGGACTTAATGTTGTACAAACACCGAGTCCTAGCTCTAGCTGATAGCAAAACATTATAAAAACATAAACACAAAGCTGAAGTGCTCATATTGAAGTCATAGCCACACTTGCGTCGTTTCATATTCGTCTAAACACCTTTGACGTGTCTCCAGTTACTTCTCTTGTTGAAAATGCKTCTTTAAAGTTTCTGTGAATTCCAGCTCAACATGTGAAAGTTTTTTATAAGAAAAGACAAGATATGTTAGCAGATAAGCAAGCTTCCGTTTATTCAGTAAGCTGTCTATTTGCAAAGAAGTGACACCCTTTTCTGCTGTGACATGTTTTATAATCCATTTTACTTTAGCGTGGGCCTGCCACTCTTCTGCACTCGTGCATTCTGTAGGCACACATGTAGAATATACCTGAAAAATAAATAAATTAAAAAAAATCAGATAGAGGGAGATTTTGCACATACTGTATATATACTTTTTTGTTTGTTTTTGTACGTAGCAAGATAAATATTATTTCCTAATAATTTGTTTTTATGAGATGGTACAGATTTTCACATATGCAGTTTTAACTTGACATAGGAGCAACTATAAGAATTTCTGTGAATAACAATYAAAGRGGCAAYATCATGTAAAATCAACTTTTTTGAGTTTTCAAGACAATATTTTGTCCATTTATGGAATTGCTCAAGGTKATACATTTCACTCAATCCCAGTAAGATGTATTAATTTCACAAACTGGCGTTTTCATGCCTGAACCAACCTGCAAAAAAGGTCATGAGCAGAGCCACCCAGCCTAATATATAGGACCAAGAGAAACGCCAGTCACCAAAACGCTTGCCCAGGAAGTTCACCGTCACACCGGTGTAAATGGCCATTGCAAGCAGAACAAAGAGAGCTGATGTGGAGACAGAGKGTAGTGAATGATTAAATTTACATCYTTAAATCTAAAGCTCAAGTCATTTGGATGTTACCAAAGCAGCTGCATTATTAGATCAGCAGAGATGAAAGTTCACAGAATGTTGCATTACAATCAAATATTCTTATTAATACTGTTAATCATGCAAAGAGAGCCAATCAGATGGCATTATTAGGTGACAGAATCTATGACTCACTTGAAACAAAGAACATGATGCCAGCAGCAAACGAGCGGTTGAACCTCTCAAAGGCAGAGAAGTGAGCAAAGGAGAGGATTCCTGCAATGATGCCGGCAAAGCATGACATGGCAGACAGGATCATGAAAGCTCGAGTGGCGTTCCAGTAGGCTGAGGAGAGAACGTGGTGCACAGGAAGAGACACATTTACAGCTTTAAATTTGACAGGTCAT